ATGGGTATAATGTTTTTGTAAGTTAAAGGGAAGAATGGAAGTAACTGCAAAGGGCTTATTGGCCCATATTTCTTGATGCTTCTATATTGGTGCGGAGTCTTGAAGTGGGTAGAATATAGTTGTGCATTAATTGGCAGCTAATTCGCCTTCATCAGAGCAAAGTAGAATGAAGATGATCTTCAGATCAAAGTAGATCTTCATTCTACTTTGCTCTGATGAAGGCGAATATTTATTTATATATATATATATATATATATATATATATATATATATATATATATATATATATATATTATATATTATATATATATATATATATATATATATATAATGTCCAGTACTGAACTCTAAATGACCCAACCAGGATTCGAACCCATGACGTCTAGGATCACGGCCAAACGTACACAGTTTCGTTTTCATTTACCTCACCATTGATCGTCTACAAAGATTGGTCAGTTGTGGTGTTTATTAACTAAGCACTATCAGTCAACCCCCTCCTCCTCCAACCCCCCCGACACTCGTGGATTCATTTGGTACAGTTTTTATTACAGTGTTACTTATTACACTTAGTATTAAATCGTACTATCAATTCGGATGGGTTGCAGCTACAGAGGGAGATACAGTAGATTACTATTTATTTTTTTTTATTTTAAATCTAGTGAGTGTATAAAGTATATACTTATTCCGGATTGTCCTTCGTTTTCAACTCAGCAGCAGCTTCTGTAGTGAGCCTTTGTAACTTGGATTGATCCGAGAGGATGAGTTGTATTTTCTCAATATACTTTCCCTATAAGAACGTGTGCAGAGAAGAATGACAATGCTAATCCAAATAATTATGCGCCTTCCCTGTGAAGAGAGATTGCAAATGTTTCATTCACATTTAAAAAAAACGGAGATTATTTGAATGGATGAATGGATTAAGAAAGGTGATATAAATAAGGTTTGAAATATATCAAAATTGTGTTCAACAAAATTGAACACAAAACAAGGGAAATAAATAGGGCAAGTTAAATTTAAGGTGGTTAAATGATATTCACCTGGGTAAATACTGGTTTGAAAATAGAGTATGTAATTTATGAAACAAATTGCCTGGTAACATAATAGACATGGGATCAATGAGTTGTTTCAAGTGTAAGTATTGGTGGATAAAAGGAGTAACCGGCCTCGACTGGCCCAATAAGACTTCTGTAGTTTCCCTTGTTATTATGGTGCTATTACATATATTGGCGTACCATTACCTCCTCCGACACCCGAGTCTCTTGTTATCGCGAAGATCCTTGACTTGTGGGGTCAGTGAGGTGTTACTTTAGTGTGCTCGATTATTTACGCCTTCTACTACAAGTTGTTCATGTAGAGTATCCCTGGTGGCGACCTTCCTCTGTGTCCCAGGGTGGTTGTTCATGTAGAGTATCCCTGGTGGCGACCTTCCTCTGTGTCCCAGGGTGGTGGTTCATGTAGAGTATCCCTGGTGGCGACCTTCCTCTGTGTCCCAGGGTGGTTGTTCATGTAGAGTATCCCTGGTGGCGACCTTCCTCTGTGTCCCAGGGTGGTTGTTCATGTAGAGTATCCCTGGTGGCGACCTTCCTCTGTGTCCCAGGGTGGTGGTTCATGTAGAGTATCCCTGGTGGCGACCTTCCTCTGTGTCCCAGGGTGGAACACGTCGTCCAGCGTGACCTCCACCACCATCTTCCTGGCCGCCGTCTCACTAGCTCTGGTCATAACCTGCCAGTTTGTGCCCAGACTCGGGAGTTATTCTGACCCTCACTGATATTATTCTGGCGAGATTGAGGGAGAACTTGCTATGGGATAAACCTTGCTGTGGGACGCATCTGGCTGTGGGACGTATCTGGCTGTGGGATAAACCTTGCTGTGGGACGCATCTGGCTGTGGGATAAACCTTACTGTGGGACGCATCTGGCTGTGGGATACACCTTGCTGTGGGACGCATCTGGCTGTGGGATAAACCTTACTGTGGGACGCATCTGGCTGTGGGATACACCTTGCTGTGGGACGCATCTGGCTGTGGGATAAACCTTGCTGTGGGACGCATCTGGCTGTGGGATAAACCTTGCTGTGGGACGCATCTGGCTGTGGGATAAACCTTACTGTGGGACGCATCTGGCTGTGGGATAAACCTTACTGTGGGACGCATCTGGCTGTGGGATAAACCTTACTGTGGGACGCATCTGGCTGTGGAATAAACCTTGCTGTGGGACGCATCTGGCTGTGGGATAAACCTTGCTGTGGGACGCATCTGGCTGTGGGATAAATCTTGCTGTGGGATAAACCTTGCTGTGGGACGCATCTGGCTGTGGGATAAACCTTACTGTGGGACGCATCTGGCTGTGGGATAAACCTTACTGTGGGACGCATCTGGCTGTGGGATAAACCTTGCTGTGGGACGCATCTGGCTGTGGGATACACCTTGCTGTGGGACACTTCTGCCTGTGGGATAAACCTTGCTGTGGGATACACCTGGCTGTGGGAAACATCTTGTTGTGGGATACACCTGGCTGTGGGACACATCTGGCTGTGGGATACACCTTGCTGTGGGATACACCTTGCTGTGGGATACACCTTGCTGTGGGACACATCTGCCTGTGGGATAAACCTTGCTGTGGGATACACCTGGCTGTGGGAAACATCTTGTTGTGGGATACACCTGGCTGTGGGACACATCTAGTTGTAGGATACAACTTGCTGTGGGACACATCTGGCTGTGGGATACACCTTGCTGTGGGATACACCTTGCTGTGGGATACACCTTGCTGTGGGATACACCTTGCTGTGGGACACATCTTACTTGATACACCTTGCTGTGGGATACACCTTGCTGTGGGATACATCTTGCTGTGGATACACCTTACTGTGGGATACACCTTACTGTGGGATACACCTTGCTGTGGGATACACCTTGCTGTGGGATACACCTTGCTGTGGGATACACCTTGCTGTGGGATACACCTTGCTGTGGGATACACCTTGCTGTGGGATACATCTTGCTGTGGGACACATCTGCCTGTGGGATACACCTTGCTGTGGGACACATCTGGCTGTGGGATTCACCTTGCTGTGGGATACACCTTACTGTGGGATACACCTTGCTGTGGGATACACCTTCCTGTGGGATACACCTTGCTGTGGGATACATCTGGCTGTTGGATACACCTTACTGTGGGATACATCTTACTGTGGGATACATCTTGCTGTGGGACACATCTGCCTGTGGGATACACCTTGCTGTGGGACACAGCTGGCTGTGGGAGACACCTTGCTATGGGACACATCTGGCTGTGGGAGACACCTTGCTGTGGGACACAGCTGGCTGTGGGAGACACCTTGCTGTGGGACACAGCTGGCTGTGGGACACACCTGGCTGTGGGACACATCTGCCTGTGGGATACACCTTGCTGTGGGAGACACCTTGCTGTGGGACACAGCTGGCTGTGGGAGACACCTTGCTGTGGGACACAGCTGGCTGTGGGAGACACCTGGCTGTGGGATAAACTACACCATGATGTGGGATACTTTACACTGAAGTAGTTCTAAGGAGCCACGTCCTCGCATCTGCGTCTCTGATCAGGTCATGTCGGTCTGGAGGTGGTCGTGGCACTGGTCGTCGCTGGTCTGGAGGTGGTCGTGGCACTGGTCGTCGCTGGTCTGGAGTGGTCGTGGCACTGGTCGACGCTGGTCTGGAGGGTGTTGTAGCACTGGTCGTCGCTGGTCTGGAGGTGGTCGTGGCACTGGTCATCGCTGGTCTGGAGGTGGTCGTGGCACTGGTCGTCGCTGGTCTGGAGGTGGTCGTGGCACTGGTCGTCGCTGGTCTGGAGGTGATCGTGGCACTGGTCGTCGCTGGTCTGGAGGTGGTCGTGGCACTGATCTTCGCTGGTCTGGAAATGGTCGTGGCACTGGTCGACGCTGGTCTGGAGGTGATCGTGGCACTGGTCGACGCTGGTCTGGAGGTGGTCGTGGCACTGGTCGACGCTGGTCTGGAGGTGGTTGTGGCACTGGTCGTCGCTGGTCTGGAGGTGGTCGTGGCACTGGTCGTCGCTGGTCTGGAGGTGGTCGTGGCACTGGTCGTCGCTGGTCTGGAGGTGGTCGTGGCACTGGTCGACGCTGGTCTGGAAATGGTCGTGGCACTGGTCGTCGCTGGTCTGGAGGTGATCGTGGCACTGGTCGTCGCTGGTCTGGAGGTGGTCGTGGCACTGATCTTCGCTGGTCTGGAGGTGGTTGTGGCACTGGTCGTCGCTGGTCTGGAGGTGGTCGTGGCACTGGTCGACGCTGGTCTGGAGGTGGTTGTGGCACTGGTCGTCGCTGGTCTGGAGGTGGTCGTGGCACTGGTCGTCGCTGGTCTGGAGGTGGTCGTGGCACTGGTCGACGCTGGTCTGGAGGTGGTCGTGGCCCTGGTCGACGCTGGTCTGGAGGTGTTGTGGCACTGGTCGTCGCTGGTCTGGAGGTGGTCGTGGCACTGGTCGTCGCTGGTCTGGAGGTGGTCATGGCACTGATCTTCGCTGGTCTGGAGTTGGTCGTGGCACTGATCTTCGCTGGTCTGGAAATGGTCGTGGCACTGGTCGTCGCTGGTCTGGAGGTGGTCGTGGCACTGGTCGACGCTGGTCTGGAGGTGGTCGTGGCACTGGTCGACGCTGGTCTGGAGGTGATCGTGGCACTGGTCGACGCTGGTCTGGAGGTGGTCGTGGCACTGGTCGACGCTGGTCTGGAGGTGGTCGTGGCACTGGTCGACGCTGGTGTGGAGGTGGTCGTGGCACTGGTCGACGCTGGTCTGGAGGTGGTCGTGGCACTGGTTGACGCTGGTCTGGAGGTGATCGTGGCACTGGTCGACGCTGGTCTGGAGGTGGTCGTGGCACTGGTCGACGCTGGTCTGGAGGTGGTCGATGGTTGGGGTGTTCATGCACTGCTCCATACCATGCTGCAGCTGTGTCCTGTACATATTGATCTCATCCTGAGCATTGTGGATCAAGGCGATATTCTGTGGTGAAGGGAAAGTGTCCTGGTCGAGTATTCTGATGTTACTGTGTTGTGAAAACAGTGGTACGTGTAGGAACGGTGTGTCCTGAGACAAGCGTCCTGCACAGTTCCTCTACGACATTACAGACTATGAGTCTCTCAGAACAAGTATGATGCGCAACAACGACACTTACCTAACGGGCACAATGTCCAACAGCGGTGATGGACATTGGGGGGTCGTACTGGCGTAGCTCTTGGATGCTGCGCCCTCTGGGTAGCCGCCGACTTACAAAACATGCGCTCAGTGGAGGCCCGGATGAGCGACTTCATTGATGACGTAACGGAAACTGAGCAGAAAATTTCAAGACAAGAGATTTTGGCTCAATGTTGGTTGTCCCGCCAGAAGCGTGGGACCCTCGGCAGCCCACCTCACCAACCGTGGTCACTGCTCATAAGCCCTAGACAACGTCAATATTGCTGTGCTAATAATTTCACCAGTAACGCTGTGGTTCATTGTGATAAAATTAGAGAACATTAAGTGTGAGGACAGGATGAAAAGCTAATATTCGCAGCCTTTCGCTCTAAAATTAATTAAATTTATTTGTGCCAGATCTGATAGAGCATTTTAGTGAAAGCATCTGTACCACCTTTTTTCCTTTCTTATTCGCTGGTTCGGAAGGAAGGCTCTAGTTTCCCCTCCCTCACTGCCCTCTGGGACAGGTGAGGTTCCGGTAGATAGGTTACATCCCTTCCTCCTCCTCTCGGTTACTCTTTCATCTAAAAATCTAGACGAAAATATATATAATCACGGGACATAAGGGAGTCTTTTTAAACGTCGTCCCGTTTGAACTCTGGCTTTTATATGAGATTGACCCTTGCAGACTTGTCATGCAGGTAGTGTGTGTGTATGTGTACTCACCTGGCTGTCCTCACCTAGATGTGATTGCGGGGGTTGAGCTTTGGCTCTTTGGTCCCGCCTCTCAACTGTCAATCAACTGGTGTACAGGTTCCTGAGCCTACTTGGCTCTATCATATCTACACTTGAAACTGGATATGGAGTCAGCCTCCAACACATCACTGCCTAATGCATTCCATCTGTTAACTACTCTGACACTGAAAAAGTTCTTTCTAATGTCTCTGTGGCTCATTTGGGTACTCAATGTCCACCTGTGTCCTCCTGTTCGTGTTCCACCCGTGCTAAAGAGCTTGTCTTTGTCCACCCTATCAATTCCCCTGAGAATTTTGTAGGTGGTTATCATGTCTCCCCTTACTCTTCTGTCTTCCAGCAACGTGAGGTTTAACTCCCGTAGTCTCTCCTCGTAGCTCATACCTCTCAGCTTGGGTACTAGTCTGGTGGCAAACCTTTGAACCTTCTCCAGTTTGGTCACATATTTGACTAGATATGGACTCCATGCTGGAGCTGCATACTCTAGGATTGGTCTGACATATGTGGTATACAATGTTCTGAATGATTCCTTACACAAGTTTCTAAATGCCGTTTCTAAATGCTAAATTGGCCAACCTGGCGTATGCCGCTGAGGTTATCCTTTTGATATAGGCTTCAGGGGACAGATCTGGCGTGATATCAACTCCCCAAGTCTTTCTTTGTCACTCTGACTCTTGAAGAATTTCATCTCCCAAATGATACCTTGTATCTGGTCCCCTGCTCCCTACACCTATCTTCATTACATTACATTTGCTTGGGTTAAACTCTAACAACCACGTGTTCGACCATTCCTTTAGTTTGTCTAGGTCGTCTTCAAGCCTCAAGCATTCCTCCTCTGTCTCAATCCCTCTCATAATTTTGGCATCGTCAGCAAACATTGAGAGAAATGAGAATTTCTCACCCTCCGGGAGATCATTTACGTATATCAGAAACAGGATAGGACCGAGTTCAGAGCCCTGTGCGATTCCACTGGTGACTTCACGCCAATCTGACGTCTCACCCCTCACTGTAACTCTCTTCTTCCTATTGCTTAGGTACTCCCTTATCCACTGGAGCACCTTACCAGTCACTCCTGCCTGTCTCTCCAGCTTATGTACCATTCTCGTATGGGGTACTGTGTCAAAGGCTTTCCGACAGTTCAAGAAAATGCAGTCTGGCCAGGCTTCTCTTTCTTGCTTAATCTTTACTACCTGGTCATAGAACTTTATTAAGCATGTAAGGCAAGATTTACCCTCCCTGAACCCATGTTGATGGGTTGTCACGAAGTCTCTTCTCTCCAGGTGTGTTACCAGGTTTTTTCTCACTATCTTCTCCATCACCTTGCATGGTATACAAGTCAAGGACACTGGCCTGTAGTTCAGTGCCTCTTGTCTGTCACCCTTTTTGTATATTGGTACTACATTAGCAGTCTTCCATATTTCTGGTAGGTCTCCCGTCTCCAGTGACCTACTATACACTATGGAGTATGGCAGGCAAAGTGCCTCTGCACACTCCTTCAATACCCATGGTGAGTATCACGATATCACGTCTGGACCAACAGTTGATATCACGTCTGGACCAACAGTTGATATCACGTCTGGACCAACAGCCTCTCTCACATCCAGATCCAACAGGTGTCTCTTGACCTCATCTCTCGTAATTTCGAACCCTTCCAAGGCTGTCTGGTTTACTACTCCCTCTCTTAACGCAGTGACCTCACCTTGTTCTATTGTGAAAACCTCTTGTTAAGTTTTTCACACACCTCTTCATCATTCTCTGTGTACCTGTCCTATACTGTTCTAAGTTTCATTACCTTTTCTTTCACTGTTGTTTTCCTCCTGTTATGACTGTGGAATAGCTTTGGTTCAGTCTGGGCTTTGCTTGCTATATCATTTTCATAATTTTTCTTTGCTTCTTTTCTGACACTAACATACTCATTCCTGGTTCTCTGGTATCTCTCTCTGCTCTCTGGTGTTCTGTTATTTCTGGAATTCCTCCTTTACTTCAGTTCCTTTGCTTCCATACTTGCCCTATTAAACCATGGAGTCTTATTTTGCTTCTCGGATTTTTCTTTTTGAGCAGGGATGAACCTGTTTACTGCCTCCTGACACTTTTGGGTGACATAGCCCATCATGTCTTGTACAGACTTATCTCTGAGGTCTGTGTCCCATGGTATATCCCATAGAAAACTTCCCATCTCATAGTTTCCCTTTCGGTATGCCAGCCTTTTGTTTCCTAGTTCTTGTTTTGGGGATATAAATCCTAGCTCTACCAGGTACCCAAAGATCAAT